CTGTTTCTTAACTGCTTAATCCTGTCTCTGAACTGCTCAACCCTGTCTCTGAACTCCTTCACCCTGTCTCTGAACTGCTTAACCCTGTATCTGAAGTGCTTAACCCTGTCTCTGACCTCCTTAATCCTGTCTCTGAACTCCTTAATCCTGTCTTTGAACTCCTTAACCCTGTCTCTGAACTACTTATCACTGTCTCTGAACTTCTTAACCCTGTCTCTGAACTCCTTAAACCTGTCTCTGAACTGCTTCACCCTGTCTCTGAACTCCTTAACCCTGTCTCTGAAATGCTTAACCCTGTCTCTGAACTGCTTAACCCTGTATCTGAAGTGCTTAACCCTGTCTCTGACCTCCTTAATCCTGTCTCTGAACTCTTTAATCCTGTCTTTGAACTCCTTAACCCTGTCTCTGAACTACTTATCGCTGTCTCTGAACTACTTATCGCTGTCTCTGAATTGCTTAACCCTGTCTCTGAAATGCCCCACCCTGTCTCCGAACTCCTTAACCCTGTCTCTGAACTCCTTCACCCTGTCTCTGACCTGCTTAAACTTGTCTCTGAACTGCTTAACCCTGTCTCTGAACTCCTTAACACTGTCTCTGAACTGCTTCACCCTGTCTCTGAACTCCTTCACCCTGTCTCTGAACTGCTTAACCTTGTCTCTGAACTGCTAAACACTGTCTCTAAACTCCTTCACCCTGTCTCTGAACTGCGTAACCCTGTCTCTGAACTGCTTAACCCTGTCTCTGAACTCCTTCATCCTGTCTCTGAACTCCTTAACCCTGTCTCTGAACTGCTTAACCCTGTCTCTGAACTGCTTCACCCTGTCTCTGAACTCTTTAACCCTGTCTCTGAACTGCTTAACCCTGTTTCTTAAATGCTAAATCCTGTCTCTGAACTGCTCAACCCTGTCTCAGGACTCCTTCACCCTGTCTCTGAACTGCTTAACCCTGTCTCTGACCTCCTTAATCCTGTCTCTGAACTCCTTAATCCTGTCTTTGAACTCCTTAACCCTGTCTCTGAACTACTTATCACTGTCTCTGAACTGCTTAACCCTGTCTCTGAACTCCTTAAACCTGTCTCTGAACTGCTTCACCCTGTCTCTGAACTGCTTCAATCTGTCTCTGAACTCCTTAACCCTGTCTCTGTACTGCTTAACCCTGTCTCTGAACTGCTTCACCCTGTCTCTGAACTGCTTAACCCTGTCTCTTTACTCCTTAACCCTGTCTCTGATCTGCTTCACCCTGTCTCTGAACATATGTGTTCTCTCTGTATTGTAACGCATACATGTAACTTCCAAAATTAAGGAAACACTTGAGTAAATTAGGGATACAAAGTATATTGAAAGCAGGTGCTTTCACACAGGTGTGGTTCCTGAGTTAATTAAGCAAGAAATATCCCATAATGCTTAGGGTCATGTATAAAAATGCTGAGCAGGCCATTATTTTGGCTACAATGGCTATGCCCCCATAGGGTGACAATGCCCCCATCCACAGGGCACGAGTGGTCACTGAATGATTTGATGAGCATGAAAATGATGTAAACCATATGCCCTGGTCGTCTCAGTCACCAGATCTCAAGCCAATTGAACACTTATTGGAGATTCTGGAGCAGTTCCTGAGAAAGTTTTCCACCACCATCAACAAAACACAGAAGGATGGAATTTCTTGTGGAAGAATGGCGTCGCATCCCTCCAATACAGTTCCAGACACTTGTAGAATATATGCCAAAGTGCATTGAAGTTCTTCTGGCTCGTGGTGGCCCAATGCCCTGATTAGAATCTTTATGTTGGTGTTTCCTTTATTTTGGCTGTTACCTGTGGATCAATCACAGTGATAGCTAGTTTGTAACAGAGATGCAACGCTAGACTCTGATCAGAACCTGACCAGTTAACTGTCTCCCAGCTGGGTTGGCTCTGGGCCTCTGATAAACAGATGGTGTAATGTAACACTCCCAAGCGGTTGGCACGTCCACCCACCCACACACTAACTCTTGTCAGTCTTTTACAAACATTAGCATATATGGGGCTAGGAGGGTGCGCTAAGTAGCTTTTCATTTCAGGCAGTAGTGAGCTACTCCATTATCCTGGTCCCATATCTGTGTGCTGTTTGGCAAGGCATTGATATGGATATGCTGAATAAACTGATCTGGGACCAGGCTACCACTCCTCAGCTCCTCTGGGGCAGTATGATGTCTCCATATCACTGTGTGTCTGTGTGTGTGTGTGTGTGTGTGTGTGTGTGTGTGTGTGTGTGTGTGTGTGTGTGTGTGTGTGTGTGTGTGTGTGTGTGTGTGCGTGCGTGCGTGCGTGCGTGCGTGCGTGCGTGCGTGCGTGCGTGCGTGCGTGCATGCGTGCGTGTGTGCGTGCGTGCGTGCGTCTAGAGCTGCTCTACTAACCTACTGGGTGTGTATTAAGTGTCTGTCTGTCATATGCTTTGTGTTTGACATCTATCCAACACACACCCTGTGTTCAGGGCTAGAACACTGTGCTGGTGTCTTCTTCCTTATAGGCCTAATGACTGACTGTTGAGTGTTGAAGTGTGTGTATTTTATGAGCCTAATCTGGACCACAAAGACCCTTACACAGTAGAATTTCTAGAATATGTCTTTCACATGACTATGCAGAATTCAGTCTCTCACTTAGTGTGAAGCAGCATTGACTGCCAGTAGGTCTCAGTGCTGTAGTGTGCTGAGAGTCTTCATACTTAGAGAGAGATTTTGGTCCAGTTTCTCCAAAGTCTACTCCTGCTGAATGGAGAATCTCCAGTCCAGGAAATGGAGTATAATCTGTGTCCAGGAATAAGGCTGCTAAAGTTTTGTTTTGACTCCCCACTGCTCTTCACACCAAAAAGAGGCTCTCTGAATTTTGATCATAGCAACACCCATTACTTTATTACACTGTTATCTGTATCTGTACCTGTAAACTTCCTTGTACACAGAGGAGTAGAATCCATCTCTACAGAGGTTGGAACACCTTGAGCTGAATTATTCATGTCAAACAGAGGATAGAGGATAGCCCTAGATCCTGCCTGCATCCCAAATGGCACCCTAATCCCTACATTGTGCACTACTTTTGACCAAAGGCCTATGGGCTCCCAGCTGAATGAGTCATGTCAAACAGATGATAGGGCAGAGATAGCCCCAGATCATATCTCTCCTCTCCAGCAGGCCTACATCCCACAGGCGCTGCGCTACGGCTGGGTCATACCCACCCATCCACACTTTCACACATGCTGTGTGATGGGGTGAGTCACTCACAGAGCAGACCACACTTTCGGCTAGCAGTGGGAGAGAGGCTGGTTCCCACTCTGGGAACCAACAATGTTTGTGTGCCTCATTCCCCAGACAACACCTGCAGGATGACTGACTGACTGGACGGAGGGAGGGACCTCAGTATTTATTCAGTTTGGAGCACTTCCAACATACCTCACTGTACTGTACAGTAAGCTACGTTACATCCACCCTGACCCCTCTCAGTTTCAACATGAGATAAATGATGAGGTGTATTAAAGCTGTATTAAAGTTCAAAGGCCAACAATAACTAAGATTTGACATTTAAAAAAATCATATGTAGCTCATCCGTGTTCATATTTGGATTTGTTTTAAGTCTATTCAATATATCACATATCAAAATTGAGTGGAGTCATCAATTTAAAATGTATACATGTAAATACTAGTTCCATAATATTTAGGCAAAGAAATGACCCTCATATCTCCACAATATTTCTGTAATAAGTCTAAGGAATTCCATCCAGAGAGATATTAATACATTCCTCGAATACAAATGTCATTATGTGTTCATGGTATCCATGTATCCAAGCAAACAATGCGTCATGAAATAACTTCCAAGCACACTGGAGTAACTTCCGGACTGCTTTCCTGCTGCGTGATTATGTACTTGAATTCAGAAGCATATATCGGGAATCCTATCACAGAGGGGCACTCCCTGACGTAGCGACGCACGGCTTGGGCGTTGTACTTCCATAATGAGATACTTTATAACTGCAGTGCTGCCCTTGACATCAATCGAGTCAGAAGAACTTGGAACTGTTGTTGGATTCGGGGAAACTTGCTTTGCGCGCTTTTCGGCAGAAAACCATTTTTGTGGAATTATAATCACTCTGCAGTCGTACTGAGTAAGTTGACTTTGCTTCCAACTGTGGTTAACTTTTTCTGTACATTAAATAATCTCATGCGCATTGAACATATGGCACGAACAGACAATTGAAGTTATTGAGATCTTCTCGCACGCGAGGCAGGCAGGGGAGCGACTTGGTTTATAACATCCATAAAAACATTTTTGACGGATGGTTCTGCTCATTTTACATTTCGTCTATCAGCGTGTCGACATACAGTAGCCTTTTCCGTTCTATTATTTTTTATATTTTTGCTAGATAGATGGAGTCGAATTGTTTATTGATAATTCATGCGCACTTATTGAGAATACGCATGCAACATATACAAACAAACTGGCATAAGTAATTTGGGAAGTAGCCACTGATCTCTGTGTGGTTTAGTAGAACATATTTTAGGTCCAACTGGACCTGCAGTGCTGTGTGAAAGGTGGTCTGTTTTTTACCTAGATTTATTTATTTATCATGGAGAAAACGACGTTTTTTTTATTATTTTGTTCATGCAGGGAAACTTACTAAGGGTGTGATTCATGATTTAGTAATGACAGGCTACACTAACAATAGTATAGGTATACACTTGTACATTTCAACTGGACATACATAATAGTGACTATTCAATTTTAAACATGGGAGAAAAAAATGCAGCTAAGATTTGTCATGTGTATTACAAGTTGAATATCAGCTGGACAAACACTTTCTCTTTTTTAGAACTCCTCTCTCCAATAAAGACATTCCACAGTTTCAGAGAAGGTTCTGTTCTGTGTTGAAGGCAGGGTACTGCAAATCCTTTAGTGACACACCCATGTCCCAGTCCCACAGAACTGGAGAGAGACCTTCAGAAACTGACTTTCTCCTTCTTTTATCATTTAGCTCCTTCTGACAATATGCTGCTCCTACTACTGGGAATCGTTATCCTGCACATCGCAGCCTTAGTCCTCCTGTTTGTGTCAACAATTGTCAATGTAAGTGAAGTTTCTTTATCTGTTGAGTTATCTGATTATTATCAATAATTGGTTCTCATTTACGATAATTATTCAAAACAGTAAAAAAAAATAGATTAACATATATTTTATTTGGAAATCAATAGATTGTTTTAAAGTGTTGACATCTCTGCTATCTGTAGGTGTTTTCTATTTGTCTGCAGTGTTCTCTTGTTAATAGCAGCACTGTGTTGTTAATCCTCTAGGCCTGGGCAACAGGGTCCGCTAGCAGTTCAGACCTCTGGAAGAACTGCTCTACAACCAATGGAGGATACCACTGTGACCCGGCCAACACTGGAGGTAAGATACAGTAAAGACTGACTGTGTACATCTGCTGCAGTGGCTTGTTTTTTTTCAGCCATGATGCTGATGATGCCTCCTATTGTCCAATAGTGAACTTATTTTGAAAGGATATACTGTAGATATCTATTTGTAGATCCTATAAATTGGATATTCTGAATGTTAGTCCATTTGACATCAAACTGGTTGAGATTTTTCTTAAGTGTGTCTTGAGAATAAGTTCAGCACTGTTTGTTGACTGTAAGATCGTAGACAGTAAGACGTGGGAAGCCTTGAAGTGTGATTAACTATAACTGGCCTTGGCCCTGAAAGCGCGCTCACTCACTCTCCTGTTAACTCCTGTGGTCCTCTGTAGCTCAGCTGGTAGAGCACGGCGCTTGTAACGCCAAGGTAGTGGGTTCGATCCCCGGGACCACCCATACACAAAAATGTATGCACGAATGACTGTAAGTCGCTTTGGATAAAAGCGTCTGCTAAATGGCATATTATTATTATTTTATTATTATTTAACCATGCCCCTAATGGGCATCAGGCTCCAATGAGACTCTACTGCCATCTAGGTGTGAGAATGTGAAACTCTGTATAGATAGTTGTGGTGTGATGTCCATATTCAGGCATAAATGGGGCTTTTTAGGGTATTTAAAGTGTTAGATCTGAGCAGGATTGTGTGTGTGTGCAGACAGGGAGGCCTTGGACCACCCCATACAGAACACAGTGTGTTGACAGCTCTGGTCACGCCTATGAATCAGATCCTGTATACAGCCAGATCATTAACAAAACCAGAGACCTAGCAGCTGTGTTTTTGTCTATGAGACAGATTCAGACCAGAGTAAACAGGGGTTGGAGGGAAACACTGCAACAAGAAACAATACCATATTAAATTAGAAGTTTTGATATGGATATGCAGTAGGTTATCTTACAATTAGCAGAAACATGGTTCTAGAGGCACTGTAATACTATAGAATTTGTGTTCAATAGTTTAATGTATTGCCTTAGAGACCCAGTACTACAGAACTAACTGCAGTAGCCTCAAGCCCAACAGGCTGTAGCTAGATGATGTCATGAGTCTAGAATGAGCTGGTTGAACTCACACCCCAGTGTGTGTTAGTGAGACAGGCAGCGGAGCCTCTCTCTCTCTCTTTCTCTCTTTCTTTCTTTCTTATAAGGAGGCGTATGTGTTGTGGAGTCTGTACTCATGTGCACGTGGCCCAGCCCGACCCAGTCAATCTGTTCAAAGGCCCCTGCAGTGTTTTGCTGAGCAATCACTACAACTGGTATGCCTGGACTGGATGAGCTAAACATGAGGACAGAGTGGCAAGGCAAGCCTCCTATCTGAGGCTCTCTACTGAGAGGGCGGGGTGGAGGCACCAACAATGGTCACGCCCACTGGGTGGCCTTTTATTTTTAATCTTGCTATTAGGAGTTATGTAGTTTATATTCCACATGGGGATTGGTTTATTTTTTACCCATGTTTTTTGCACTTGACCTGACTTTGCCCCTGAAATGGAAATCCAGTCCTTAGTTTGTATCACTAATTACAGTTAAGCAATGTCCACACCAGCTTCTTACTGTATGTTAGTTATATTACATTTACATTTTAGTCATTTAGCAGACGCTCTTATCCAGAGCGACTTACAGTTAGTGAGTGCATACATTTTACTTTTTTTATACTGGAATCGAACCCACAACCCTGGCATTACAAATGCCATGCTCTACCAACTGAGCTACATCCCTGCCGGCCATTCCCTCCCCTACCCTGGACGACGCTGGGCCAATTGTGCGCCGCCCCATGGGTCTCCCGGTCGCGGCCGGCTACGACAGAGCCTGGATTCGAACCAGGATCTCTAGTGGCACAGCTAGCACTGCAATGCAGTGCCTTAGACCACTGCGCCACTCGGGAGGACATCGGGAGTTATTACATGTGATGGACAGACACCAGCTGGTATGATCTCTACTGTAGCCATGAGCTGGCACTTCAATCTTTCAGCTGAAGCTTGACAATAACATGACATACACAGCAGATATGGCCTTGTGCCTCAGGATAGTCAGGACTCGACAAACTAAGAACAATTATTCCTGAAAAATATTTGTCTGTATATTTTGTATAAATTATATAAATAGAGTACAGTATAACGTATTGTTGTATGGGTATACCCATGGAGCATAGAATGGAAATAACCATAGACACAAGCACAACAGGGACTCTTATTATGGTAGATATTGTGGGCCCAGAGGACCACACCTCACACCAGGAAATGCCCCATGTCACAGTCTTCTGGTATGACAGGGGAAGAGAGGAAGAAAAGCTTGGTTTATCAACAGGAGATATTTATAGAACCCTGATATAAAACAAAGTGGCGACCAACAAAGGATCATGTAACACGTTATCATGTTGAGGTCTATACATTGAGTATAAATTACCGTATCGTTAGCCTTACTATGAGAGCTGTTTTGGTTTTGTGTAAAGCTTTCATGGATATAAATAGCGTTTGTCGTATCGCAGTGGATGGGTTTGATAGTAGTGTTGTTGGCTATGTCCTCTGTCATACCTCCTATCTACTAGTGTGCTCTGGTCTGGGGTGAGTGTAGCATGGGCACAGACTCTTTGATAAACCATCAAACCCTGTTGTTTCCCCAAACCTCTCATGACAAGTTGTATTAGTTTCCTGGAAAGCTACATCATGGGAGATGTATAAACAATCTACAAATGGATGTAAACCGAAAGAACAGTTATAAATTAGTCATGTGTCTGCCTGTGGACAGAGTCGTTTTGCTGGTGGTGGTTACTGTATGTGTGATCACTCAAGGTCACAGCAAAGCCAACTGTCTCCTTACTTCAACATTATTTACGCATTTATGTCTTAGCCACAATCATTCATTAAGGTTTCTTAACCAATTAGTGGTGCTAAAGCAGCCTGAGCAGGGTCTCAAAAACCACTGGATTTGTGATGAATTAAATAAAACAAGCATGCACAGTGAGTTTGGTACCTGAGAGATTACTCCAAACTCTAACACTAAGACATGGAGGATGCAGGGTGTATACTGGAACCTTATCTTCCTACTTGACTATGGTCCAGTGTCCTTAGTATCCTATGGGGGCATGCAGGTCTGTATCTGTATTTATTAAGGATCCCCATTATTTCTTGCCAAGGCAGCAGCTACTCTTCCTGGGGTCCAGTATAATTTAAAAAAGGCAGTTATACAATTTAAAAAAACATTACAGTACATTCACAACAGATTTCACAACACACTAAGTGTGTCCCCGCTATTCCATAAGGTATATTGTTATCTGTTTTTAAATCTAATTTTGCTGCTTGCATGTGTTACTTGATGTGGAAAAGAGTTCCACGTAGTCCAAATATAAATGTCTGTTTGGCTCTGTAGAGGTAAATACTCTGGTAGAGCTCCAGCAGAAAACAACATGTGGGTAGTGACAGCAGCAGACACAGCTAAACATGAAGTGAGAGGGAGAGAGATGTGTGAGAAATGGCTTGGGAGGGAGGGAGAGATAGATGGAGGGAGGGAGAGATGGCTTAGGAAGGGAGCTGGGAGCTGGCTTAGGAAACCTGAAAGTGGATGCAGGCTGCATGCATGACCCTCAGACAAGAAAGAGAGCTGCTTGGAAGTCCAGGCATTAGTGCTGTGGTTGTAGCGCTAACACAGAGTGGTGGGGGGCTATGTCTCAGTCAGTGGCTTGTATTTATGGATGCCAAGGGAAGCCTGGCTTCCCCAAAAAATTAACCAAGAAAAAAACATACATTATTTTGTATCATTCGTCTCTTTGCGTTTCATAAATATCCTTCAATTCACAAGAGACTGGATGTATCTCACCGGAGAAAGCATCCAAGTGAACGAAACAGCGCCCCTCTGTCTCAGTATGCGTAGCCCATCTATCTGATGCTGTCTGGTTAAAAAGAGTATGACATTGTTGCCGCCCGTAGCATTAAATGCAAGGGAAGCCAATCAGCGTTGAGCTAAACTGAGTGAGCTCAGCTGTGAATGGTCCTGGCTCACCAAAGAAAAGTGTCAAGGGAAGCCAGTTTGGATTTGGCTTCACACCAATCACATCACTTCAAAAGCCAAACGTCATTGACAAAAAAAACTTGAATTGTTGAATCTCGTTGTGTTGTTGTCCTCCGGTGGCTAGCTAACTAAAATCATCCCTTTCCTAAATTAGCCATGGATGGACATAGGGATTTGGACTTGTGGTTTTAACTAATTCTCCGTACCGGCCAATGATTATAACGGCGATTCTGATCCAATCATTAATGTATAAATTGTGCCCCTGGCCTGAGAGGATGGAAGTTCAATATGTAGCTAGATGTAGAAGGCTAATGTTAACTAGCTAACCTTGCCCATGAATGGAAGTTAGGCTAGCGAGCAAGCATTTTAGCCAGGTAGCCTAGCACAACAAAAACTAAAAGTGTGTACTGAATGACAGAGTCAGACTGTTTAGGCAACATAAAAGAGGAGGATGGCATTGCTGGTGTTTATCTACAAGTAGGGTGAGTCAACATGTTAATCTACTTGCACGAACACAAAAACACGCGCACACACACAGAAATCAGTACCATGGACAGCCACATCATATTTAGCTTACATTGATTGGACTAAATGGTTTTTGGTATCTTTTAGTTGTCACTGTATTTGACTAAGCAGAGGTGACTTGATTATGAAATTATGCTGGATTAGTGGAGGCAGTGCCTGTTTTCTTTGCGACTTGCGTCTCTGTGGTTCTAAATCAGTAGCTTAGTAGTCCGAAAAATGTACTTGCTTGACAATGCTGTAGGTCATGTAACTATTTGTCACATGCAATATGTTTTGTGGACACCGGACAGATATTGCTCTCCAGTTTTGTGATAAAACAAAGGTGTGGAAGAATTTATTCTGCCACTGTCTTCTTATTGTCTCTGCCTTCTATATCACGGTAGCAAAGCCTGTGAACTAACAGGTTATAGAGCTGCAAACAATGCAATTTTCACAACACAGGTTGTAATATGGCTTTTTTTTTTTTTTTTTTGCTTGGCTCCCCAAGTGATTTTACCCACGCAACGCTACTGCTCAAAGTCCCTGGCTGTCAGGACAGGTTACTATAATGGGTTAACAGGGTTTTCTGTGCTGTAGTAACCTGGCCTTTGAACAGCAGTAGGCACAGTAACCAGAGGATCAATATCTTACACAATGTCTTAAGGGCCTCTTTGTATTATTGAGTAGGCTACAATGCTTTCAGGAACAAGATGCCTAGGTACCATTATTGTGGTCGATGTCCGCACTGCCTTGAAAAATACAAAATACAAAAATCTGTCATTTTAAGCTAGAGATATCCGTCTCAATCCACCAACATCGCACTTCCGCATCTATGGTGAAAGGTGACCGAGCTAGAGCGGTGTTTGTCAGACCATGAGACATCCCGAAAAACAGTCTTCTCACAAAATCGTCTGTAGCGAAATTGGCCTACAAACTCTATGGAAAGATGAGACTCTCACGAACACGATGGTATTCTCCATTTTGCATTACAAACCCACAAGCGTATTGGGACTCGTCTGAAGTCGGTACAGCCGATCTGCCAACTTTTGTCTGTAGCGTCCGAACAGTTTGGGCTACACACTAATATGACCCCTCTGTGCAAAGGTGAGACTCTCTCGAGTACATGTCGGTTGTTTTGTTCTAGGATACCCACAGGCCTCACAAGACTCACCTGAATTTCCCCCGGTACCAGTTGAAAAAATGAATGGAAGTATATATGGAGACTGTATAGTGCCAAAAATAAGGGGTTAAATTAGTGTAAAAAAATTACAAATGTTTCCTGATTTTTCTTATCAAATTCCAAGATGGCGTAGCAGTACGGTCGTGTTTTCTGTAGTGTCCTCATGTAAATAGCCTGTTTTTTTTTGGTCCTTTTTCGTATATATTTCTCAATCTCACTTTCCTGCAACCCGCCTCACCCAAGGTGGAACGGATTCTATTATTTCTTTATACCTTCTTATCTAGAACCTCTGAAACTAGCCAGCTAACTAGCTACTTGCTATTAGCCACCGTTAGTGGTCTTCACCATTGTCCGTGGCCTGCACTACCTACCAGCCAGCTCTAGCCTGGCGCTATCGAGCCAGAGCATATCGGATTTTCTGCCGGAATCACTGAATCACTGGACCTTAACACCAGATCATCGCAACTAGCTAGCTGCAACCGAATGGCTGTTGTTGTTGTTGTTGGCTAATCACCACTGTCCTGAAGCAAGCCTCAGTTAGCCTTGAGCTAGCCTCGTGCCAGGCCCATCTCCCGGCTATCTACCTCTCTGTCAACCGGACAGGACCTCCTAGTGTTGACACGGAGCCCCGCCGATCCATCACGACTGGTCTGCCGACTTCATCGTCTGATGTGATTTCAACAGGCTTCCCATTAGCCCCGGCCCGCTAGCACACGCAATCAACAGCCATGCCTCCTGCTCGCCTGTGCCGTAGCAGCCACTGAACTGCTCCCGGACTCACCTATTGCTGTTCACTGGACCTTATGATCACTCAGCTACACAGCTGATGCCTGCTGGACTGTTACTTTATACGGTACCCCATCCTGTTTATCTGTTTAGCCTCAGCTCAAACTTTCATCGCCATTACCAGCTGTTGTCTTAGCTCTCTCGAATAAAACCTGTGATTGCTTTATGCCTCTCTCCCATGTCAATATGCCTTGCCTATTGCTGTTTCGGTTAGTTCTTACTGTACTTTTTCACTGTAGAAACCCCAGTCCCGCTCAACCTGCCTCAGATAGCTCCTTTGTCCCACCCCCCACACACGCGGAGACCGGCTCAATCGGTGCCTCCAGTGATGCTATCCCTTTCATCGTTACCCAACGCTTAGGTTTACCTCCACTGTACTGTTATCCTTGTCTGTACATAATGCCCTGAATCTATTCTACAACGTCCGGAAATCTGCCCCTTTTATTCTCTGTACCCAACGCACTAGAGGACCAGTTCTTAAAGCCTTTAGCCGTATCCTTATTCTATTCCTCCTCTGTTCCTCTGGTGATGTAGAGGTTAACCCAGGCCCTGTAGCCCCCAGTATCACTCCTACTCCCCAGGTGCTATCATTTGTTGACTTCTGTAACTGCAAAAGCCTTGGTTTCTTGCATGTTAACATCAGAAGCCTCCTTCCTCCGCCAACCCTGATGTTCTAGCAGTGTCTGGATCCTGGCTTAGGAAGGCCACCAAAGATTCAGACATTTCCTTTTCCAACTACAACGTTTTCCATCTAGATAGAACTGCCAAAGGGGGCGGAGTTGCAGTCTACTGTAGAGCACCTGCAATCACCTGCAGAGCTCTATCATACTATCCAGGTCTGTGCCCAAACAGTTTGAGCTTCTACTTCTAAAAATCCACCTTTCCAGAAATAAGTCTCTCACTGTTGCCACTTGCTACAGACCCCCTCAGCCCCCAGCTGTGCCCTGGACACCATATGTGAATTGATTGCCCCCCATCTATCCTCAGAGTTCGTATCGCTTGGTGACCTAAACTGGGATATGCTTAACACCTCGGCCGTCCTATAATCTAATCTAAACTAGATGCCCTCAATCTCATACAAATTATCAAGGAACCTACCAGGTACTACCCTAAATCCGTAAACATGGGCACCCTCATAGATATCATCCTGACTAATTTACCCTCTAAATACACCTCCGCTGTCTTCAACCAGGATCTCAGCGATCACTGCCTCATTGCCTGCGTCCGTAATGGGTCCGCGGTCAAACGACCACCCCTCATCACTGTCAAACGCTCCCTAAAACACTTCAGCGAGCAGGCCTTTCTAATTGACCTGGCCCGGGTATCCTTGATGGATATTGACCTCATTCCGTCAGTAGAGGATGCCTGGTTGTTCTTCAAAAGTGCTTTCCTCTCCATCTTAAACAAGCATGCCCCATTCGAAAAATTCAGAACTAAGAACAGATATAGCCCCTGGTTCACCCCAGACTTGACTGCCCTTGACCAGCACAAAAACATCCTGTGGCGTACTGTATTAGCATCGAACAGCCCCCGCGATATGCAACTTTTCAGGTAAGTCAGGAACCAATATACACAATCAGTTAGGAAAGCAAAGGCTAGTTTTTTCAAACAGAAATGTGCATCCTGTAGCACGAACTCCAAAAAGTTTTGGGACACTAAAGTCCATGGAGAATAAGAGCACCTCCTCACAGCTGCCCGCTGCACTGAGGCTAGGAAACACTGTCAGTACCGATAAATCTACGATAATCGCACATTTCAACAAGCATTTTGCTATGGCTGGCCATGCTTCCCCTACCCCGGCCACAAGCTCTGCACCCTCCGATGCAACTTGCCCATGCCCCCCCCCCCCCCCCCCCCCCCCGCTTCTCCTTCACCCAAATTCAGATAGCTGATGTTCTGAAAGAGCTGCAAAATCTGGACCCTACAAATCAGCTGGGCGAGACAATCTGGACCCTTTCTTTCTAAAATTAGCTGCGAAATTGTCGCAACTCCTATTACCAGCCTGTTCAACCTCTCTTTCGTATCGTCTTAGATCCACAGAGATTTAGAAAGCTGCCGCGGTCATCTCCCTCTTCAAAGGGGGTGACACTCTAGATCCAAACTGTTACAGAGCTATATCCATCCTGCCCTGCCTTTCGAAAGTATTTGAAAGACAAGTTAACAAACAGATCACCGACCATTTCGAATCCCACCGTACCTACTCCGCTATGCAATCTGGTTTCCGAGCTGGTCATGGGTGAACCTCAGCCACGCTCAAGGTCCTAAACGATATTATAACCGCGATCGATAAAAGACAGTACTGTGCAGCCGTTTTCATCGACCTGGCCAAGGCTTTCGACTCCGTCAATGGCTGCCATTCCTTCCAGTTCTCTGCTGCCAATGACTGGAACGAACTGCAAAAATCTCTGAAGCTGGAGACTCTTATCTCCCTCACTAACTTTAAGCATCAGTTGACAGAGCAGCTTACTGATCACTGCACATGTACACAGCCCATCTGTAATTAGCCCACCCAACTACCTCATCCCCATATTGTTATTTATTTTGCTCATTTGCACCCCAGTATCTCTATTTGCACATCATCTTCTGCACATCTATCATTCCAGTGTTAATACTAAATTGTAATTATTTTGCACTATGGCCTATTTATTGCCTTACCTCCATAACTTACTACATTTGCACACACTGTATATAGATTTTCTATTGTGTTATTGACTGTACATTTTATTTATCCCATATGTAACTCTGTGTTGTTTTTATCGCACTGCTTTACTTTATCTTGGCCAGGTCGCAGTTGTAAATGATAACTTGTTCTCAACTGGCTTACCTGGTTAAATTAATAAAATAAAATATCTCTCAGATATAGGACAGACACTTCAGAACCAACTTTCTTTTGATATTTGTGTTGTTCCATGTAGTGAATCTGTTATTCAATGCGCTTGTATGGGCTAATAGCAGTAAGGCCAAATCAAATTGTTTATCAAATCATAAAAATAAAAGATACTTCAAGGGGTCTTGAAATTCAAAATCAAATATTAAAATGATCCTTGGTATGACCTTCTTAAAACAATTCCATATAGCTTAGTAGAACACCCACCGTTGGCTTAGACTCTTATGGGTTAAGGATTTCAGGCAACTAAACAAGGCTCATGTTGCTGTAAATAGAAAGTGAAGTCTGATGTATAGTCGTGAGTCTCTAATGCATATGTTAATGTATAGCCAATTCATATCCATGTACTGCATAGCCATGTAGCGTCCATGTATCCTGTGTGGTCCTCTGTAGCTCTGTGTTTCTAAGAACAGCCCTTAGCCGTGACATGTTGGCCATACAACACACCCCCTCGGGCCTTACTGCTTAAATATATTATGTAGACTTGACTGACAATCTCCCTCTCTCTTCCCTGCAGAGTGGATCCAGGCGGTGCAGGCCCTGATGATCCTGTCCATCATCTTCAGCTTCATCTCTCTCTTCCTGTTCTTCTGTCAGCTCTTCACCCTGCAGAAGGGAGGACGTTTCTTCCTCACTGGGGTCTTCCAGATCCTCGCCAGTAAGTTCCAATTATGTCATCCAGACAAAATAAACTGAAACAGAGTCATATTCAGAAGTGTACACTGTATAAAGGGGCCTAAAGCTTTATGGTATAAAGGGGCCTAAAGCTTTATGGTATAAAGGGGCCTAAAGCTTTATGGTATAAAGGGGCCTAAAGCTTTATGGTATAAAGGGGCCTAAAGCTTTTTGTTGTATTCAAGCAATACACCAGCTGTTCACTAAACATCCGTACTATGCACCCGCCACACCTGAGTGGACACACTCACAGAATGTGTTGTACAAACAGCTTCTGCATTGTCTGTGTCAGTGCACTGATATTGTCTGTGTCAGTTGAATAGGATCTATTGTATTCCAACACCTCTTCTGGTCTATTGTGTCCACCATTGGCAGCCTTTTTTAACCTCCCAGGTTGGCACTGTAGACCATGCCAGTGGGCACAGAGACACTCACACATGTGGAAATGTCAAGACTGAAAACGTAGGGGGTGAACAACAAACAACTTAACATCAACACAGAGACCATGCCATGTCACGCCAGTTCACAATGGGCAGGGCTGGGTTCTGTTGAAACTTGGAAGCAGGCCAGGGTTCTAGATGAGGAAGTGAGGAATCTAACAGCCCTGTTCATAGTTCGATAGCCGCCATGACACAGTGTGATGCAATAACTGGCTGGGGGAATCCATCTGGGAAGCATTGACCCTACTCACCCCACCTCTCCTCTACTGCTGCCCAGCATGGTTCATACTAGGACAACTTCCATGAAGCATTGCAGATTGTGATGATGGCGTGAAACACAATAATTTGATCTTAAGAATTTGACCCCCTCCCCCCTTCATCCCCTGATCTCCTCTCCTCCTCCCCCTTCTCCTATTCTCTCCTCTTCTCATATTTTCCTCTCCTCCCAGGTCTGTTTGTGATGAGTGGAGCAGTGATCTATACGGTGATGAGTCCTAAGTGGGTGCCTGAGACTGAGGCCTTCGGCTGGGCCTATATCCTGGCCTGGGTGGCCTTCCCTCTGGCCCTGATCAGCGGACTCATCTATGTCATCTTGAGAAAACGGGAATGAGACCCCTGTCCCCTAACCTCCACCCCACTCTCAGCATTAACAATCCCCCCCCCCCCCCCCCCCCTCAGGAGAGTAAACTCAGAAGCTTGAGGACTGGTTTATCTGACTGGGTCCACAGCCTTCTTCACCAAGGTTTGCATCTACTGAGAGGTAACACCCAAACACAACCAAACAAGATGACATGATGAAACAATACTGTCAGAATTTGAAATGTATATAGTATCTATGGTTTAAAGCCTATTTATAACACTTTTTACATATGTGTACATAGTATTGTTGTGTTGCTCTGCCGTCAAAGATATTCGTACAAGCTTCTTTTTAGCTGATAAATATGTTTCTAATTAATGATGAAATAATTAGACACTCTGTTTCTGTAAACCACCAAAAAATGAATACAAATGGTTTTTGAACTATTTTAACCAAAGTGCATGTATAAAATGGAGAGCTAGAAGGAATTTGTGTAACTGAGCTTGTTTTACAAAAACAAAAAGTGGCAACATCCAAATAATGGCTTAGATGTTTTTCAACTTTATTTCTTATGTTATTTTTCTATCTTTTTTTTTTCAACAAAGATGGTGCTATGTATTTACCATTCCTATTACTGATTTTCATTTACAGTCAAATGACTTGACTTATGAAGTAACTATAAACGTCAGGGTGAGAAGTAGACTTCAGTGTAATGTCCATATGCCTAACTGCTTCTGTTTATAGAGAAATCATTGATTTGTCTAAATAAAGCTTTAGAAAAACAGTCAGCTGTGATTGTTCAGCTAAAAGGAGCATTGGAGTTGGGTTGGAGTCGGGGCGATGGCGCAGTAGTTTTTTGGTTGGAATGCCATTTGGAATGTCAGTATTAGCACGCCCTGCCAAAGTTCCATTTGATTTCCTCTGTTTTAGACAGAGTTCAAGGCTGGAGAACGTGAGATAAATGACAGCGTTGATCTGGGTTGTTGTCTTCTCGCTCTCTCTGTTGTAAGGCCATGCCATGTTCATCTGTTTGTGTTTATAGCATATGTACGACCAGTAAACACGCTAGAAACCAACCTGCCTCTTGGACGGAGTACTGTAACAACTAGTAGGGCATTGCAGCCAGATCCAAATTGATTTTAAGTTTTTATATCTGATTACATTATAGAGATATTTCAAAGAAGGTCAAGCAAGCTCCGAGGCAGCCACCTCCAACCTGATCAAGGCAGAATAGAGGACATGATTTTTAGTATTAGCCTTGCCATGTGGGAGAAAATGGACAGAGGTCGGCAGTTGTGATACACATGTTCTGTTTCATATTTGAAGTTTGACAAGCTGCAGTTTCTGCCACCCTAAAGTACATGACTTATGTTTATTTTTGATATAATGTTAATAACATATCTATGACTATCTAGTATGTAGACTCATTAATAAAACAAACCAAATTGAAAACAGCTCCTACCTACGGGGATTTCTATATATTTCACTACTGTATCACATCATAACAATAACCCAATTAGAGCTATAGCCAAGACATTGCTTAATGTTGATGTATGTAACTATTTAGCCATTTACAGAGTTAATAGCTATGTTGTTTAAATGGTCCAATGTCTGCCTTGAAGAGTAATGGTAAACTACTGAAGAGAGGAAGTGAAAATGTACAGTACATGAAAGAGTGTAATGTGGGATCCCTTACTGTATTTGGTTGGTCTTAGATAACTGTGTGCTATTAAAGAGAATGCAAATTCTGGACTCTCTCTGTTGCCATAATGTAATGATAACTGCACTAGGAGCTCGATTCAATTTTCAATTCGAGAAAGAATGTATGACAATGTAATGAGACGGACGCTTTTTACATCATGCGGGTTTCTCCCATCAAATAGCCAAACCTACATGGCACTCAATCAAATAAAAAATGAGCTGTCATGTTAATGAACAACATATCCTAAAAACAAGACAGGTCAAAGTAAAATGGACAATATGGAATGGACAATCACAACTGTTGTCCGGGAGTTTCACCCCATTGTCATGATCAGTGGTTTCAAGTTTGTATCCCTCCATTTTTGACAAGCTGATCACAGAGAAAAATAAAATACTTCTGCATTTCCCGCTGTGTAACATTGCAAATAGGCTCAGGATAACTCCTCCTGATAAAGTTGGGTAGCTGATATTTAGATCTTAAATAGCCAAATTGATTAGCCACAGGAATCCAAACTAATAAAGCCAATGTAATGGCCTCTTTTACAAACGGTGGTCCTACCACATGGATGGGCATTCATATCATTCCATTGCGGGTGACATGGTAGGCTACACCCCAGTAAGCACGAGCCGCCGTCTTTTCTTGGTCCTGTCCAGACGTCGTTTTTTGTTGTTTTACAAACGATAGGTTTACCACAGATGGGCATTCATAAAATTCAATTTCAGACACACTGTAGGTTACACCTCAGTAAGCACGGACCGACGCCAATGCCTTTTGGACGTCTATTTTTAGTGCTGTTCCGGACCGGCCTTGATTTCCAAATCCACCGACATTGGTTTTTAGTCCGGTCAGGATCAAATCTGAACCAATCATAGATGTCTATGTTTGGTTCAGATGTTGTCTGGTCTGGACCAGCCTTGATTTGGCATCTGGAAAATACTTATTTTTCAAAGTCCGGGAAAGATGCCTTTTCAATGTCCTGGAAAATATGTATTTTAAACATACGGAAAATACTTTTTCACCTTTTCACTCAGAACCTAAATTGAACCTAACTTCAACGTCTGGAAAATGTATTTTAAACGTCATTTTGCTTATTGGGACTATTTTAGTTTTGCGGGGGCAGCATTTTTTGGTCTTGCCTATGGCGGCAGAATGGCAAGGACCGGCCCTGTGTGCCCATACCGGGGCAGTCTGTCTGTAGCGTGTGTGACTAGTGTTTCACATGGTGGCCCTAAGGCATGAGGGGGGATTCAGCGATGCCAGTCATTCTGGGCATGCAGCTAGTGTTTCTCTGTCAGCAACCTGCCATCAGCGCAGTGAGAGAGTGAGCAAGAGAGAGAGTGGAGACTAAGATAGTGGTATAGTATGAACACTGTCAGTTAGTTACAGACGTCACGTTGCTTGCTTAACGAGTACCACTTCACCCCCCTGTTTCAGCTCTAACTTGGGACCTCTACTTTGCTAACACACGTGACCGCCCACCTTGACAACGTTCCAACTGGTTGAGCCACCCAAAAGGTACCAATTGGATAGCTCCATCCGCGACATTTCAAGCAAGCTGTGGATTGAGCTCACGGCACGTTCTTAACTCTGTTACACTTGCCGGGTTTGTCTTTTTTAAACTACAGATGAGAATTCACTATGTAGCTATAATCTGGTGGGATGCCTCAACATGTTCCCTGTCAAATAAAACAAACAAATGGTGTGAAAGAGAAACTAGAGCTGTGTGGTCAGGATTAAAATAATATCTAAACAGATCAATACAGTGGGGGAAAAAAGTATTTAGCCAGCCACCAATTCTGCATGTTCTCCCACTTAAAAAGATGAGAGAGGCCTGTAATTTTCATCATAGGTACACGTCAACTATGACAGACAAAATGAGGGAAAAAAATCCAGAAAATCACATTGTAGGATTTTTTATGAATTTATTTGCAAATTATGGTGGAAAATAAGTATTTGGTCAATAACAAAAGTTTCTCAATACTTTGTTATATACCCTTTGTTGGCAATGACACAGGTCAAACGTTTTCTGTAAGTCTTCACAAGATTTTCACACGCTGTTGCTGGTATTTTGGCCCATTCCTCCATGCAGATCTCCTCTAGAGCAGTGATGTTTTGGGGCTGTCGCTGGGCAACACAGACTTTCAACTCCCTCCAAAGATTTTCTATGGGGTTGAGATCTGGAGACTGGCTAGGCCACTCCAGGACCTTGAAATGCTTCTTACGAAGCCACTCCTTCGTTGCCCGGGCGGTGTGTTTGGGATCATTGTCATGCTGAAAGACCCAGCCACGTTTCATCTTCAATGCCCTTGCTGATGGAAGGAGGTTTTCACTCAAAATCTCACGAGACATGGCCCCATTCATTCTTTCCTTTACACGGATCAGTCGTCCTGGTCTCTTTGCAGAAAAACAGCCCCAAAGCATGATGTTTCCACCCCCATGCTTCACAGTAGGTGTGGTGTTCTTTGGATGCAACTCAGCATTCTTTGTCCTCCAAACACTACGAGTTGATTTTTTACGAAAAAGTTCTAGTTTGGTTTCATCTGACCATATGACATTCTCCCAATCCTCTTCTGGATCATCCAAATGCACTCTAGCAAACTTCAGACGGGCCTGGACATGTACTGGCTTAAGCAGGGGGACACTCAGGATTTAAGTCCCTGGCGGCGTAGTGTGTTACTGATGGTAGGCTTTGTTACTTTGGTCCCAGCTCTCTGCAGGTCATTCACTAGATCCCCCCGTGTGGTTCTGGGATTTTTGCTCACCGTTCTTGTGATCATTTTGACCCCACGGGGTGAGATCTTGCGTGGAGCCCCAGATCGAGGGAGATTATCAGTGGTCTTGTATGTCTTCCATTTCCTAATAATTGCTCCCACAGTTGATTTCTTCAAACCAAGCTGCTTACCTATTGCAGATTCAGTCTTCCCAGCCTGGTGCAGGTCTACAATTTTGTTTCTGGTGTCCTTTGACAGCTCTTTGGTCTTGGCCATAGTGGAGTTTGGAGTGTGACTGTTTGAGGTTGTGGACAGGTGTCTTTTATACTGATAACAAGTTCAAACAGGTGCCATTAATACAGGTAACGAGTGGAGGACAGAGGAGCCTCTTAAAGAAGAAGTTACAGGTCTGTGAGAGCCAGAAATCTTGCTTGTTTGTAGGTGACCAAATACTTATTTTCCACCATAATTTGCAAATAAATTCATTAAAAATCCTACAATGTGACTTTCTGGAGAGAAAAAAATCTCAATTTGTCTGTCATAGTTGACGTCTACCTATGATGAAAATTACAGGTCTCTCTCATCTTTTTAAGTGGGAGAACTTGCACAATTGGTGGCTG